TATGAATTGTGATCCATTCGATTCCGTGGAACTGTGTAGTCATCTTATCTGGATATTATTACTGTATTCTATATGTTAGAGCACTTGAGCTGTGATTTATGTTAGAAATCATGTTTAGGCTATGTGCTGGTGCCATTGGGACCTACAATGGTCGTTTATTTGCTTAATTGTAATTATGTACTCATTCGCATCCATCAGTGCATATCATATCTCAGTCTCTGTTATCATGCATTGTCACATCATGTATCAATGATTTGGGCTACTTGGCATGAGTTTTGTGAGCTTAAAAGACTGGAGAGATTGATGATTGAGTGAGATCGAGGACCTGTTTGTGAGTGATACTGTTGACTCATGATAGGATGGGGTTGCACGCCGCAGCAGATAATTTATTTATTTACGATGTGATCGGGCAGCGTGCCGCAACAAGTTTTATTAGCGCTTGGTCAGGACCGCCCCTTCGGAGTCTGCACACCCACAGTGAGCGCAATTTTTATTGATTCATGATGGGATCGGGCTGCATACCGCAACGGGTATTGTGCAGTGCTGAGTGATTGAATGTGACGAGTGAGAATTGAGACAGCCAGGTTGAGTACTCTGAGAGTGTGAGTACGCGAGACTTTCATTATGTTGCATAACATATGATATGCATATTGGCATGTAAATATAGAGATGTCATATTCCTCATATCATTCAGACTTGGCATATTTTATCTGTATTAAGCTTAGTTGTTAAACCTGGAACATCTCTACATTCCTATACTGGTACCTGCAGATTATGAGTTTTCTTTGAGATATTATTGTCATATTATTTGTCATTTCCGTACTGCTTAATTCTTTATATGGATTGTATTATTCGAGTTCGTCACTGCTGTCAGTCCAAATGTTAGACTTATTACTTATTGAGTTGGTTGTACCCATGCTACACTCCGCACTTTGTGTGTAGATCCAGGTATTTCCGAGCACGGTGGTTACTGATTTTGGGAGCTTCTTCAGTTGGAGATAGTCGAGGTAGTTGTCTTGTCATCCGCAGACCTTGACTCTCCTCCTTTATCTTTTAGTTTTGTTTATACTGCTCTACCTTTATAGACAGTATTTTAGTTGTCAGACCATGTTATTGTATAGAAGCTCATGTACTCCGTGACACCCGGATCTTGGGAAATTCTGTATTGAGTTGTGACATTTTCATCCAGTTTTTATGAGATTCTTACTTACTTAAAACTTATTTCAGTATATTTTGAATTTAAGATATTGGTATGTCTGAGTTGTCGGCTTGCCTAGTATCATGATAGGCACCATCATGACACTTGTGATATGGGGTCATGACAGTATTTTTGTTGCAGAAGGTGTTGAGAGAACACCAAGAGGTGAGTATCTTAAAGGAAAAATAGATAATAATTTGACAAAGAACAAAAAGATAAAACTGAGTAAGTTAAAGTGCTCCTATGTGCATTTTATAGATTCTAATAAAGAATATGAAAAGTCTTTAACATATGACAGCTAAAAGAAAAGAACATAAAAAGAGTAATAGACATGCTCATAAAACTTCTACATCAAAGCTGGAACGGCTACAATAAATTCAATATTTAAAAGTTATTTAAATTCTTACTCATAACACAATTAACCACCGTCTTTGATTGGAGTGAAGTTTTTTTTTGGGTCAAGGGCAAAATGGTATAATAACTATTAAAGGATATTATGGTAAATCAGCTTTAACAAAAATTGTTCACACTTTTAATATAGTATAATCTTTATTTTAAGCGTATTGGACAAAAATATAAGAAAATTCTAAGGAAGTCATCAAACGTTAACTTGATACGTATTTTCATTTAAAAGTTTTCGGACGTTTGTATGAAGAACTCGGGGATAATGACCGGGACAAGAGGTAGTTCCAGCTAGCCAAGGTATGAGAAAGGAAGACTCTTGATTTGCGTCAACTGAAGTGCATAAAAATTAGAAAGGCAAAGTTTTGATGGAAGATGCACATCTTAGATGAAGATGACAGACATACTTCCATAAACTCTGGAATGAAGAGGGGGACATGAATATTGTGCCCGGTGATTTGGAGCAATTCGAGAGTCATCATGATTTTTTAGGTATTGTAGGCGTATAAAAGTTGCGTACATCGAGGGGGAGCATGGGTAGAGCGATCGGGCCATATGAAATTTCAGTGGAATTTTAAAAGAACATGGGCATTGCTGGCTTGGAGTGGATTACTAAGTTGTTTAATATTATTTTTAGGACGAAGAAGATGCTAGAAAATGGAGGTGGAGTGCGATGATCCCGTTGTACAAGAACAGGAGAATATTTAGAATTGCAACAAATATAGAGGTATCAAACTGCGAAGTCATACTATAAAAATTTAGGAGAGGGTGCTAGAAGTGAGGGCGAGGAAGAGTATGTCTATTTTCGAGAACCAGTTCGGATTTATGCCAGGATGTTCGACTATGAAAGCCATCCACCTTGTAAGGAGATTGGTAGAGCATCATAGGTAGATGGGGGGGAGGGGACTTGTATATGATATTCATTGACCTAGAAAAAACATAAGACAAAGTCTCAAAGAAGATCTTGTGTGGAGATGTTTAGAGGCTAGAATACATTAGGGCTATTAAGGATATGTATGAAGGAGCTAAAACTCCGGGTGAGGACAATAAACGGAGACTCAAAATATTTTTCAGTTGTGATGGGGTTGCACCAGGGATCAACCCTTAGTCCAGTTTTATTTGTCTTGGCGATAGATGTAGTGACATGTCATATTCACAAGATGTGAGATTATGTTAACATGAGGTTGAAGGTTTTGAGACAGACCCTGGAGTCTAAAGGTTTTACATTGAGCAGATACAAGATAAAATACTTGAAGTGCAAGTTTATTGACATGACTCATGAAGCGGATGTGGACGTGAGTCTTGATACTCAAGTTCATCCACAAGAGAGGAAGTTTCAAGTATCTTGGATCGGTAATCTAAGGAAAAAAGAGATTGACGAGGATTTTGCACTTCGTATTGGAGCAGGATGGATGAAATAGAAGCTCGCATCCTTGATAAGTGGGCGTGGAGGTCGAGAATTATGGTAGAATGTTAGTGGGTAATCATGAGTTTTTCTTGTCCATACAGTAGTATTAGTGTTATTCTTGTATTTTTTATTTTTAAATGTTTATTACTATATGTTGTTTCTTTCGCTTCGGCTTTCTTATTATCTTGCTGTTATTACTGCATGTTGCTACTTCTCTTTTTATCATTCCTTGAACCAAAGGTCAATTGGAAACAACTTTTCTTTCTGCTCAGGGTAGGGGTACAGTCTGCGTACGCACTACCCTTTCTTAGGCGCTGCTTATGAAAGTACATTAGGTTTGTTATTATTGTTGTAGAGTTAATTTCATACTACAATTGTTAGTTGTTAACTCATGTTAGACAGGGGGAAGTGCACAATTAACCACTAATAAGATATATATTTACTTTTAAGCTACTATTTAAAATATCTTTAGTCTTTAACCACTGTTTTAATAAACTTTACCTGCCCGAACGAAAATACCCTTCTGCTCATAAAGTTTAGACCAAGTGTCCTTAACTTATGAGCTTGTTACTGTAAGTTCAAGACTAGTTATCCTTAATTTATGAGCTTGTAAGTCTAAGTTTAGGACTACTTGTCCTTTACTTTTGAACTTGTAACTATAAGTTCAGGACTACATATCCTTAACTTTTGAACTTGGAACTCAAAGTTCAGGACTACCTGTCCTTAATTTCTGTACTTGTAACTCTAAGTTAAGGACTACATGTCCTTAATTTCTGTGATTGTAACTCTAAGTTAAGGACCAAGTGTCCTTAATTTTTGAACTTCCATCTCTAAGTTCAGGACCAAGTATCCTTAACTTATGAGCTTGTTACTGTAAGTTCAGGACTAGCTGTCCTTAATTTATGAGCTTGTAAGTCTAAGTTAAGGACTACCTGTTCTTAGTTTTTGAGCTTGTAACTCTATGTTTAGGACTATATGTCCTTAACTTTTGAACTTGTAACTCTAAGTTTAGGACTAGATGTCCTTAATTATTTGCACTAAATTATTTGCAAAGAAAGAGAAGATCTGCAATGGTAATAGATGATGTATCAAAGACCATATAGCACTACTAAACTCTCCAGCTTCTGGGGCTTAGGAATAAAGCCTATTCATGCACTACGAAAATCCTGCAGGTAAGTGTGTTCTTGCTCAACTTTGTCAGGGTCCATCAATGATTTGAGCTCGTCGGGTTTGGGAAGAAATAAAATGGAAGAAAGGGTAAAAATATCTTTTCATATTAATTTTATTAGAGTAGTGATTATTTTTGTTCAACATTAAAATTGCTGGACAAAAAATAAATATCACATTAAATAATAACTACCACACACCATTTGTACTGTTAAACACCACCCCGAAAAGAAGACAAAACCCTAACAAAACAAAGTCACTTTGACTATGTATTATATTAGTGTTAACGAAGAAAAATAGTTACGTAATTGGTGAAAAACTAATTTGATACATAAAGCATCTCGCTAAAGCTTGAAATTTGAATAATTAATTGATTTGAGTCCGAACCCAAAATATTTTTCGGATGTCGAGAGTTAAATTTCTTAACTTTGACCATAAAGTTGACCATAGAATCTTTAAAAGTTTTTAAAATAAAATTTATGTTTTTGAAAATTATATAACAGTAATATAAGTCATACTAATAATTAATAATTTAAAATATTTAATAAGTATATAAAAAATTATGATCAAAGAATAACTCGTTTGACTCACTCAAAAGTGTCATCATTTTTTATTTTTTTTTGAGACAAAGGAATAGTTTTTAATATGCCATAATATTAATACTTTTGAAATTTGTAATTTTAAACATATCTAATATTTGTGTTGCTGTAAAATTTCAACTATGCACCAATTAATTGCATTATTATTACATATATAAACATTAATTCAAAAGAAAAGAAAGTTCAAGATAAACTAGAATAGAGGGAGTATATTTGTATGGGCGATTGGCCACATGGTCCCAAATTCCCAATAACGCAAAACAAATATTCATTTGAGAGTTGAAGAATCCAGCGTCAACGCTATAAATCTGACAACATAAAGAGTCCCGTAATCATAATTCCTTTGCGCAAAACTCACACACGCTTTCATCAAAATAGTCGTCTGTTCCTCGACCAAATTGCTCTGTTTTTTCCATAAATTTTTTATTCTTCACTCCTTTAATCGAAAGAGTAGAATCTGGTGATCGAAAATGGGGTGTTGCAGTAGCAAGGCGGCAGATACTAAAGCCACCCGAATGGCTCGATGGCGTTCTACTGGCATCGTTGCTTTACGCGACTCCAAATTGAAGGCATTTCATTTCTTCTCTCTCTCTCTCTCTCTCTTTTTTTTAATTGTTAATAGTTTCTCGTGACAACTATTTGCTGACTGTATAAATTGTACTCCATTTAGTATTGAAATGAAATGATAGACCTAGTATCGTGGAATTGATATAGAGGATTTATATAGTCGATTGCGAGTAGTTTTGATTTAAGGTTTAGTTGATTGATTGATTTATTAGCCCAGTGTATGTTGCCCTGTGTTTTTCTAATTACTGTCTATTTTGGATCAAATATCTGTCAACTGAAAATATGGACTTTTCCTTCAAAGAAAAGTGTTCTAATTGACTGTTTGTTGTTTCAGATTTTGGTGCTGTTAAATTGCCAATTCCTTTTTCTATGTTATAGAGTTGTTTGGCGCGAGAAGCGTTTTACTTTCTTATGAGGAGGTTTATGAATATTTTGTGGAATTGACTTGGATGTAACCTTCATGACACTTTGGAGTAAACTGCCTAAGAGCAAAAAAGTTAATGTGCCGATAGATTAAGTTCACTATTTCAGATATACATAATTAATCATCTTCATGTAGGAGAATTTAATCCATGTATCTCTTTCTAGAATGTTTTCTGTTCTCTAAGGAACCTAGAGGTTTGATATGAAAGAGCAGGAAAAAAGAAATGGACAAGTGACCAAATACATTCCGTGGGAACTAATATCAGGTTACTTTTTAAGTAATTCCTTTGTGAAAGGTTTTCATTTTCATGAGTCAATGATGCACCTTTTGTCTGCACTCTGCAATGTCTTTAACATTTTTGCTACAAAGTTCGCACAGTCATGATCACATAGTACTCGTAATATAAATTTTAAATTTGTGAACTTTTTTTTCTGAAAAGTAAATGATCTGCATGAGAATTAGTTCAATTGATTATGCCCCATAAATTAGAGCAAGATTTAAATTCTATGGGTTCAACCTTTGAGGTTCTTAGTGTTGAATCCATTATATTTTTAATATTATGGGTTCATATCTATTATTTGTTCAATGTTGTCAAAGACGCGCTTAAAGCGCGCTTAAGCCCTGAAGCGAGGGTCAAAACATGTTGAGCGCTTCGCCTCGCTTTGTGGGCGCTTCAATGTCGCATCAAGGCTCTAAGGCATACTTTTCCTTGCCAATGAATGTAATCCTGAAAAGGCGATACTAAACAATTGATATTTCACTCTATCGTAATTTTTTTTCAATTTCTTTATCCATATATTTGTTATTCATGCTTATAATTATTGGTCTTGGACTAAATATACATATTTTTACTTTTTCTCCAGTTGCACCTTTTTTCATTAAAGCCCACGCTTTAATTGCGCTTTGCGCTTAAAGCCCCAACGGACCTTAGAGCTTTTTTACACTTTTGCCTTTGATAACACTGTATTTGTTGCAATTTTCGTGGATTTTTACACATAAATTTATGCTATGTGTCAAAAGTACCGTAACATTGGATCCGCCCCTGAATTAGAGAGGGGGAGTAACTGCATTTAGTGGCATCAGGACCAGTAGATGATTTAAGCGAGTCCTGGCGATGATGACATGCAATTATTTTTAACTGAAAGTGGATCTTTCCCTTCCTAAGCTACTAACTGTCCATGACTCAATGATGAGATCTGGTTGTTTTTGTCATGAAGTATCCATGTCTCATGTGTGTGCGCGCATGTATTGCACATATATACATTCAACATGCATGCTTGTATGAGTTTCCTAATCTAATTGGTGGTATGGCTTTATAAGGAAATAGGTTTAGATCCCATTCACTTTAATTCGTGAAGTTGGGTACAAGGCTTGGATAGTGTCATTGTGATTGTAGCATGGATTCAGTAGTTACTGTTGTTTATTTGCTGGTTTCAATGAATAATGCTTGCTGTGAAGGAATGTAAATATGTCAGATAAGGACACAGTTTAATCCTTTCTGTTAATCAAATTCATGATGTCCTGACTGTTTTTTCCTTGTACAGTCTTTTCCAGATGAAGTTATTAGCCTGGAGAGATCTGTACGCACCCTCGACTTGACACACAATAAATTGGGTATTGCAATAATTTCTCAAGCTTTTGATTCCTATCTTCTTGTCGGTTCGAGTACAAAGATAAATCACAACAATTCCTTTGCAACTGCTATTTATGCTTATGCCTGTGTTACACTGTTACTTGGGGAAATTGTTTACGTCATTTATCTTTTGATCTCATTTTACCTGAAGCCTTTTGTTTTCCTGAAGCTAATCTCTCAGTCTTTGCATTGTGGCAGTTCATATTCCCATGGAGATCAACAAGTTAATTAACTTACAGCGTCTAGTAAGTACTACAAACGTACATGTTTGTTTCCTATCTTTGTGTCAAAGGGGCTTCATCAAAAGAAGAATATCTGATAAGATAACCTTATTATGTTATCAGTGCCCACATCTCATGATGAAAGCTAGGTCAGAATTGTTGGTCATATATTTGGAGCCAAAAGTCATTTAGGAAAAAAGGTACACGGTTTATTCTGGAAGAGAAATTTAGCAAGGTACGATTAGCTTCTTTTGGAAGGCATGATGTTGTCAATGTGATAATATAAGAGAAGGGAAGAGAATGAGGAATCTCCACAGTTGGAAAAACCTAAATTACTGAGAATTGGAACGAAACAGGTCTAACCGGAGCAAAATGGATACTAAGGATTGATATAGCTGACTGTACTAGCTCGGGATTGAGTATAGTTGTTATTGATGTTCTACTCTATCTTAGTGTCCACCAATTCTGACATAGGCTATAATTGCTTTCTTTCTTTTCTGCTTCATCCCTAAGGGAGACAACCTTTTGCACCTGCNGTGAGTAATTGGTCTGAGTACTCAGTTATACTTTAAAAGTAGAAGAATAAGAAAGAAAGAACGAATTTACCATTAATAACCCAAAGTTGTACAAGGGGAAGGAAAGTCCTACTAAATAATTAATGCAGGTACTCCTAAATTTTAAAAACCTTGCAAAACAGGCATAAACGCAAACTGACTGAGCTTTATTTGGCACTGTAAAAAATAAAAATAGCTCTAGTATTTACCAAAACCTTCTCCTAAGGTAGATAATATTATGCTACATCAGAAGAAGTGTTGTGAGTTCTTTTCTTTTCTATTTTAGTTAAGAATTGTTAAGAATATGGATCTTGGGCCTAACTTAACCCCAAAGGCTAGCTCGAAAGGTGATGATTGACCAAGACTGCATAAGGAGACAAAACTCATTCCCTCAACCAATGTGGGACACTCTAACATCCTCCCCCTTCCTCCCACTGCTTAGGACTGGAATTTGGAACTTGGACAACATAACATGAGGCCACACACTGGAAAACACCATAAGGGGGATAAGTCTGGCTCTGCTTCCATGTTAAGAAAATTGACCTTAGACTTAACTCAACCTCAAAAGCTAACTCAAGGATTTGCTCAAGACCATATACTAGACAACAACTAATTCCCTCTACCGTTGTAATACACTCTAATAAGAAAAATCCGATCTGAATTTTCTCGTGGCATTTTCATGTCCCGATAGAAGGAAGAAGCATACCACTAATGTGGTTAAAAGCTTCTCTCCTTTTAGTCAATCATTACTAAGATAGAGTTTTTTACATGATATCGAAGCAAGCCCCTCATGTTTCTTCAGGCATATAGCTGGCTAGCAGTTCTATCCTCTCATTTGTTATATCAACGGGTTTGCTAAATATTGAGGGGAATGATTAAACATGTTTTCTAGTAAATAATAAGTGGTTTGTTCGGTTGGATATGTAAGGTTTAAGCAATAGCAATTGTCCAAAATATCATGGCGAACACCAAACAAGAGAGATGCTGGCAGCTTAACTTTAAAGGATGATTCTAGGCTATGAGAGAGAGAAGTCTTAGAGGAGGAAATGGCCATGTGAAAGATTTGGAATGCAAGTCAGCTCAATTTTTTATGATAAGGCAATATGTGGTGGGAAAAAGCCCCAACATACAACTGGTATACAAAAACTGGACCTACATGAAAACACGGTTCTCCATAAAATGCACCCAATCATCCGTGCTAACAGGAACCTCGGATGCTTCCAAAACTCAACAAAAAGTCAAAAATAAATAAATTTGTCCTAATCTTTACAAGAATATTCTCTACACCCTCAAACGCTCAACTAAGCTGAATCAGCTCTACTTGGGAAAACTGTATGCATTTCCCTTCTGGTGAGAAGTGTTTATTTTCGGACGACTCTGAAGAGGTTTTCATGTTTTATACTATTGATATCATACATGTCTTCTCTTGAATAACCAATACTATGAACAGTTGGTTATGTCTGATTTATCCAAAGAATTGAGTGTTGATTATTTCTTTTCAGATTTTGGCTGATAACCTTATTGAGCATATGCCCGTGAACCTGGGATTGCTTCAGTCTTTGAAAGTTGCAACACTTGATGGGAATCAAATTACAACCTTGCCTGATGAATGTAATTCCCCGGGATTCTAGATCATATGTGAAGTTTAGTAGATGTCTTTCTGCTATATATATTTACACTCTCTTTTCTAACAACCGAATGCTCTTGTATTCAGTGGGCCAGTTAGTGAAGCTTGAGCGTTTATCTGTCTCAGCAAACTTGTTAACGAGCTTGCCTGACACCATTGGGAGCTTGCGGAATGTAAGTGATCTATTCTGATGGTTTATATGGTGCCAGCTTACGCTGTTATGCTGTTCTATATAGTTGTCAGTTGAAATTTTTGCACTGGCTTTACTGCATTGTTCAATGTTATGTATAATGATGCTAAGGTGGCTAAAGAAATGGTGTCAATCTTGTCAATTAGAGAACTATTCAGCGAATTAATATTCAAATTAATGAGCTTCTCATCACTTGTTAGTAGAGAACTGTTCAGCAAATTGATATCCAAATTAATGAACTTCCCATCGCTCTTGTTAGTAGAGAATCATTCAGCAAATTGATATCAAAATTAATGAACTTTTTGTTCTTGCAACTGGAAACCCAACTTTTTTCCCAATTTATATAGTGATTCCACTTCACTGTGAATTTGTATTCTTCTCTTGGTAGTTAATGATGTCGCTCGTCTATCTTGTGCTTGTATTTTAGTTTTAGAAGAGGATCCTCGAGCTCTCTGGGGAGGGTGGTGGAGTTTGGAGAATAAGTGGCTCTTTGTGGGTTGTCTTGAGGTCCACCACACTGAGTGCCTTTACTTTCTCCTTCTTAATTCCCTCTGACTTCAATTTGAAATTTATTTTCCATAAGTTTTTCCAATGTCATTGATAACCGAGAAATGAAAAACAGTGTTCACTTGTTGTTCTTTTTCTGATTCTCGTGCTCGGTGACTTGGGATGATGAGTTAAGATCTTTCAATCAAGTTAACTGCTCTATTTCCTCTGGAAGTGGAACCCTTCTAAAAGGTCGCATATATTGTTATTCTATAGATCTTCTCTGTATGTGAGTTCGGTTCTATATGATCATGTTGTTTTTCTGTCTCTCTTAGAAAGGCGCACTGCCTAGACTCAAGTACTCTCAATTCATCTTATTTGAGAGCATAAGGCTGTAGAATTGACATTGATGTTCTGGCCGTGCAGTTGGTGCTGTTGGATGTTTCAAACAATAAGTTAAAGTTTCTTCCTGAATCTATTGGAAGTTGCTTCTCTTTGGAAGAATTGCAAGCTAATGGTACCTTCAGATTTTAGCTCGCCTATTATCTGATTCTTGCTATTTCTATATTTTGTTTGCTTTCTTGGTGCTGGAGCTTCATGTCCAATATACATTGAGGGATAAAGTACCAAAACGAAACAAGAACAAAAGAAGCATCCTTAATAAAAAAAAAACATCAATATAAAATTAAGTGAAAGTCATAGCCGATAATGAAATTGGGAGGGTGGTGGGTGACATAGAAGTCAAGGAATATCCACAACTCTCTTTTGTTAAGCTTATAAAACACTAGTCTTGGTGCCATTCATTTATATTTGTACATGATTTAAGGTTCTATTTTTCCTCAGAGTGCCAAATTAGGTTTTTACTGATTTTTCTGCGGTCTTGCTTATGAATACCAACTTTTTGTCGCAGATAATTCTATTGAAGAGCTTCCTGCTTCTGTTTGCAATCTTGTTCAACTAAAGTCACTCTGCCTGAACAATAACAATCTCAATCAGGTTACCATCTAATTCTCTCTCTCTCTCTCTCTCTCTCTCCCTCCCTCCCTTGTGTGAACATACAAACATTTAAGCAAACCTCAGATAAGCTTTCTCAATCTACTAAGTAGGACCTGCCTNCTCTCTCTCTCTCTCTCTCTCTCTCTCTCTCTCTCTCTTCATTACACATAAATAAGTGCAATGCATTGTAACCCACATGGATAAGGGTTTGACTGTTTGTCTCACTGAAAAGCTAGATCTGATGCTGTGTATACGAGATATTTTCTGATGATGCTTGAAGAGTACCCTCTCTCGTTCTCTCTCTTAATATCTAACGATGCTATTAAGCAGAGTTAAGAACCCTCTTCGCACTATCTGTATACGTAAAGGCCCACACTGCTGCTCTGTGTATGGGTGCAAAAAGAAACATGCACAGTGTATCTAACTTATAAAATGAACATATTGCAAAATCTAGGTCTCTTCATTACACAAAATCATCCATATTTGTGGTCATGGATGGAACTTCTAACAGTCTTGTCCATTTAAAGCATCCAAGTTTTTGCACTCGTTCCTATCAGATATATGTTTTAACAAGATTCTCATGCTTGCTATTGGTACCTGTTGCTCAGATGCCTCTAAATTTGTTAAGAGAATGCAAGAGCTTGCAGAATATAGCACTGCACAGAAATCCCATTTCCATGGACCAATTTCAACAGGTTTTTACTCACTATTGTTCACTGTTTGATACTACTCAGTTATGTTAATCGTGGAAATGTCATTTACAGATAATGGTATTTACTTTTTTATTTCAGATGGAAGGCTTCAAGGAATTTGAAGCCCGCCGTAAACAGAAGTTTGATAAACAAATTGATTCAAATGTGATAATCAGTTCTAAAGGGCTTGATGAGGGTGTTGACTTGTGATTCCTCTCCACAGGCAGTTTACGTAAGGCTTCCGCTCTATCTTGTTAAATCTTGGTTTTCCTATCTTTACTTCAACAAGGCTTCCGCTCTATCTTGTTAAATCTTGGTTTTCCTATCTTTACTTCAACAAGGCTTCCGCTCTATCTTGTTAAATCTTGGTTTTCCTATCTTTACTTCAACAAGGCTTCCGCTCTATCTTCTTAAATCTTGGTTTTACCATCTTTACTTCAATTCCTTTTTGAAAACTTCCCCTTACTGTATAGCCATGCGTTAGCTGTATTACACAATAATGCTCCTTCAGTTGCTGTCTAGCTTTTAGTATTTCTAGTAGCTGTAATGCCTACTTCTGACAATTCATTCTTGTCGTCTGATAGGACTACATGCATGTCTTCAATACTTTCTCTTACCTCCCAGCCTGGTGTGCCTGGAAAGTTGCCTCTTCTCATTCACGTCCCAGGCTTATATCTTGTACTATTTGCCATTATATCTGTACCACTAAGTGTGTATATTTTTGGGAATATATTAGTGACTTCAAACAAAAGATGGAGAATGGTAAGAATTTCTGATATAGTGCCATGGTAGCATGATAATTTTGTCCATCAAGTTTCTGAATCTGATTGATTTTCGTTGCAAAAGAGATTCCATGAGATGCTAGATCAATAATCTTTTAAAACTTCCCATTCAAACTGCTACGATTGACGATACTGATTTTTTATGATGATATCTCTGCAGGTTAACTTTGCGGCTTGAGGTTGGATGGCATTGTGACAGCTTTGACTTTGATGAAAGGCGATTGCTTGTGCCGCTTTACATGAGTCATTGTCAAGCCCTTCTATAGTTTATCATGGATTGTCAGCTTTGACTTGTGCGTAATTGTATCTATACTTGAGTTACACTAATTGTAAATGATATGCAGACCTAACGATTTCCTTTACCTTTTTGATAATTTTATACATATTCAGTGAGCTGTATATCATCATTCAAAACCAATGATTAAAAACCTTAGTAAACTTGTCTTATTTTCTCTCTCTTTTTTTTTGTTTAAAAAAAGTTATATTAATAAATTCGGTTATATAGGGGGACTGGAGAAGGGGAGGCGAAAGAGGTTAGTGTGGATCGAAACCCACACCTATTGTATGGAGTGCTTACTACAAGTCTTGGTGGAAACTAATGTTCCAATCCTAATACTAGCAGAGTAAAAAACATACTAAGTGATTTCTTTTTATTTATCTAAGTCTCGACGAATAGAATTATTTCGAACCTGTGATAGAAGGTAACACATACTCAATAGTGTGCATAATTTGGTCTGGACAAAACAATGGAGTATTATCTTTCCCAACAAACAACCCGGACATAACTGTTGGCCCGGGAACAGGTAAAGTTTTGAAGAATGATAAATGAACTCAGTCACGGACCGGGTCCATCATGTGAAGCACAGTCATGATCAACCTATACATGTGAGATGCACGTGAAGGAGATAAGTCTCACTGATCAAGCAGCAATATCTCCTGATATGATCGAAAATGTTGCATATTGGATAAGGGGAGAAAGTCTCCTTATATGAAGAGAACACAATCTAGATAAAGAGAGTGTTAGAGTTTGATATCGTCAAGGACTCAACTACGATAGAAGATCAGAAATTGAATCCCAATCAAACTCTGATTTCTAACCTATTAAATAACAGTGATTGTTCTCTTTTACAGGGTGGCACAAACGCAGAAGTTAAACTAAATTGAAAGCAATAGAGCAAGGCGATTTTGCAAGCAATTTATGTAAGATTTGAGTGTGCACTCTTGAAGCTACTTGAACGAGATAGAAGAACCAGTTCCATTGTGTTTTTTTCTTACTCTAATTCAATTGTAGTAGGTGGTTCAAAGTTGTACCTTTCACCTTTCATAGAAGCAATTATATTAGGTACTTTGAGAGTTCAAGTTATAGGCTAACTTGAAGTTGTCGCAACAGTTGAGGCTGTGTGCTACAACGGGATTAGAGTTAATCCTTAGGTTTACAAAGAGTTTTGTAAATGCTGTTTTGGCTCAGTGATTTTAGTGGAAGTTTGGGAAAATCCTACTGAGTAGTAGGTCGTGGTTTTTTCACCTTTTGAGCCAGGTGTTTTCCACGTAAAATCTTTGTGTTCTTTATTTTATGTACTTTTAATTCCGCAAACAGTAGTAGTTAGAACATCTAGAAAATTTGGTACCACACAAATCACCACCCCTCTTGTGTGGTATTGACGCTTAAAACATCAATAACAATTATAAAAGAAGAAATAATCATATAATTTGACACATAGGCAATGTGGTGGATAAATCTAATAAATCATTTTTTTAAAGAATAAATTGTAATAACTCATAGAGTTTTAGTAGTCCAGATTGGCAACTTGAATTTTTACCTTATTGATAAGAGTTCGATGACAAGTCCTTAAGGAACATCATGATTGTAGTACAAATTATTGTAACTATGATAAAAAAAATATTCACTAAACCTTCCGAATTGCCACAAATTTCAATAGGCAAAACTTGTCTTGTCACAAGTCTACTTCTGACATATTATCATGATTGTAGTACAAGTTATCATAACTTTGGAAAAAATTATTCATTTATCTCGACGGAACGTCACAAGTTCCAATGAATCCAGAACTTGCTTTGTCATAAGTTTTCACGAATTGTTATGACTGTAGTATAAATTATCTTAATTTTGATAATAATTATTCACACTCACTAACCATAAGTTATCTTAACTTTGGTAATAATTATTCACTATCCACTACTTGCATTTATAAAAGTAACAATAATTATATTCTTACGTGTAAACAAGAAGAGATAGATTATAATTATTACAAACTTATTAATACGATCGTTATAACTTGTTGGTAAAAATTTTGATCAATAAGTTCTTGCTTCAAAATTGATCCAAATTCAATCCAAAATCTTAAAAATTCAATAGAATCACTTCCACTTCAACAAGTTCTTTTAAGCTCAACAAAATTCAATAATGGTATTTTATAATTTTATTTCAATCGAACCTATCCAAATTATTAGGGATAGATAATATAGGGTCAATTGACATTATTCGCTCAATATCTATTATTCAAAGTGGAAGTGAACAAATCAGTTACGAAGTCTTAGCCAACAGAATCCAGCCTCATATCCTATTTGACTTATTGACTAACCAATTTGGTGCAGCCAATATATAGCCATAGGGTATTTGGCGTAATTAACTGTAATTACCGAACCCCTTTTTCACCACCCGCAGTACTATTTTCCCTCAATAGACTTCGCTAACCCTAGCTTTACCTTTTTCATCGCCGACAAATTCAATTTTTCCCCCAATTTCAAAACCTACCTCCTTTCTCCCTCAATTCCACCTCGATTTTTCCTCTATTTCTTCAAATCAATCTTCGATTCTTCTAATTCTTTCCTTCCTCTATCGATCGATACCTTTTTCGGCTGTAGCCGTTTCAAAAATCGAATCCTGAAGTTAGGGTTTCAGATCTGTTTTATTTTCACCAGATCTGTTCTAATTCTCCTGTTTTTTTGTAAATTAATCTTTTTTTGGGTAATTCTTTGTTTTTCTTCTTCGATTTCTCTTGATTTTGTCAAAAAAATATTTAAAAAATCGATTTTCCCTATAAATAGTTTGTGATTTAGGGTTTCTTCTCTAATCGTTCTCTTTTTTTGTTTAGTTTATTGATACCCAGAATTTATTTCTGGTTGATTTTATTATTTTGCTTTTGATTGAAGCGTAGAGTCTAAATTGGGGATCTAGGGTTAGGGTTTTTTGTTATATTATAATTATAATTTGTCCCCTTTTTTCTCTCACTTTATTCTTTTCAAGGAAAAGAAATTATTTCATTTTAATTTCTGTTTATCTTTAAAAACTTTCCCCAATTAGAAAAAAATTTCTGCCCGCTCAATTCGACCAAGACGCTTCACAATTAAGGTACTTGAGCTCTGCCCAATAGTATTGGCATTCTGTTAGAAATAGTCTATTTGTTTGATTCTGCCTATATGATTAGACAAATATACGTTTTTCTCTTCAAATATTTATTTCACCTTCGAGGGTCAAATAATAAGATAACCAATTTAATGTTATTCTAATTTTCGAACAAAGGACAAGGACTTACCTGCTTTTCACTAGTTAGACATTTTAGAATGACTTCTTGCTTGGCTGAGCTCAATTATTCTTATATAGTTGTTGATAGTGAAATTACTGTTATAGTGGCATAGTATGCCCAGTGGCGGAGGCAGGATCTTCACGAAGGGTTCAAAATTTTTTTTTGTAGCTAGTGGGAATTGAACCCATGACCTTATGTAGATTTTGAACCCCCTTGACCACTAAACTATACTTTTGGATTGTGTTAAGGGTGTTCAAAACTTAATATATAGAGATAAAAAACAGATTTTGCCTTATATATATACATCGTAATTTTTCGGCGAAGGGTGTTCAGGTGAACACGCTTGCGCCCCCCTAAATCCGCCCCTGAGTATGCATGTTATGGAGAATTTAGTTAGTGTTCATTTTGGCTATGCAATATGGTGTTATATCTAATCGAAAAATGCTCAACGTTGTGCATGACTATGGCTTCAGCATGTCTTTTTCTCTAGTGTTAGCTAATTGTCTTTTTTGAGGGATCAACTTGCACTGATATAGCATATAAAGTTCTGGATGTATTATGCAATTATGGTTGCATTGGTTAACATGTTTTTCGAATGTGTGGAACAATTTTTACTCTCTGGTCTTTTCCAAATTCAGTATCTTATTCCAACTCCCTTTACAGTTAAATATGGTGCAAAAGAGGCCATTTGGTGAAGAGTTGTGTGAGGTTTCATCAAAGCAGCCAAGGCATGTAGAACCAAACAGTCAGCTAGTTTCAGTTTTGGACTTCTCTCCTCATGAAGCAGTGGCTATGAAGCCTTATGCTTCAGGTAAAGGATTGATTCTTCAAGAAGCATTTTTGCTAGCTGTTCGTCGACTTGTATATTTGTGATGATTTTATTTATTTGGCAATTTTTTGTTAATTCCTGAGACATTATTTAAACACTTTGAGCAGTTTTATTCTAGATTGTCATATAGGCTTGCACTTTTAGTTGCAGACTTTGGATGTAAAAGGTTTTTGGATACGGTATCCTTTTTTTGATTCTTGGTTATGAACTGTTCCATATCTATAATAGGTGGAGATGGAGATAATACCAAGAAACCTGATAGTGGCAACGCCCCTGAAATTTCCACTTTTCCTGATCAAGATACTGATACATCCATTGATGGCTCTGCTTCAAACTCTTCGTGGCCCATTAGTAGCACTAGTGAAGAAGAAATCAGGTTTGAGGTGCCTTGTGACTCATTGAGGTCTCCTGAATATTATCTTCCATCCAGGACCATTACTCATCCAAGGGAAGTATATTTCTCTCTGTTGAGAAATTCTCCTCAAAAGTTGGTTCCTATTGGACCCGATTTCCAAGCTGAATTGCCAGAATGGGGTGGGCATGGTAGTAAGGATAAACCCACCATGCAGGATTCACATGAGAACATGAATCTTCCATCCCAAGCTCTAGAATCAGATTGTGTTGATGATTTTTCTGATGAAAATAAATTTGCTGGGACTTGTATCGTTCCAATGCGTAACACAGAAACAGCAGACCACGAGGAGATTGCTGGAGTGGGAAGAGCTGAATGTTCTTGTGAGGACGCAGGTTCCATGAGATGTGTTCGACTACACATCATTGAAGCCAGAGAAAAACTTAAGATATCCCTTGGTGAGGAGACATTTGTTAGGTTGGGTTTCTGTGGTATGGGAGAGGTAGTGACAGAGAAATGGTGTGAAGAGGAAGAGGACTTGTTTCATGAGGTTGTATTCTCAAATCCTGCTTCTTTAGGCAGGGATTTCTGGAACAATCTTGCTAGTGAATTTCCTTCACGTTCCAGGAGGGAACTTGTCAGCTATTACTTTAACGTTTTTATTTTGCGAAAACGTGCCAAGCAGAACAGATTTGACCCGTCCAACGTCGAT